AACGGAGGAAGTGACCCAAACAAAGTGGCTACATGCCTGATGGAAGTTCAAAATTTAATAGGGCAGTCATTAAAACTTAAAGTTCCAAAATTATCTCCTTTGATTCCATGTCTCACATTCAGGTCATGCTAATTGATGCACGGGGTGGGCTCCCACAGCCTTGGGCAGAATCTGTCCCCATGGCTTTGTCCCCTTCCTGGCTACTTTCTTGGGCTAGCATTGAGTGCCTGTGGCATTTCCAAGAGCATGGTGCAAGCTATCAATAGATCTACCATGCTGGGGTTTTAAGTACTGTGGCCCTGTTCTCACAGATCCACAAGGCAGTGCCCCAGTGGAGACTCTGTGTGAGGACTCTGACCCCACATTTCCCTCACTCAGTGTCCTAGCAGAGGTTCTCCATGTGGGCTCCACCCTGCAGCAAACTTCTGACTGGACATCCAGGCATTTCCATATATCTTCTGCAATCTAGGCGGAGGTTCCCAAACCTCAATTCTTAACTTCTATGCACCCACAGGCCCAAGACCACGTGTAACTCCCAGCAAGGCTTGGTGTTTTCACACTCTGAAGCAACAGACCAAGCTGTATGTTGGCCCCTTTAAGCCACAAATGGAGCTGAAGCAACTGGGATAGAGGATATCATGTCCTGAGACTGCATAGAGCAGTGGGACCCTGGGCCTATTCTATGAAAGCATTTATTCCTACTGGGCTTCTGGGCCTGTGATGGGAGAGGTATCATGAAGACCTTTGACATGCCCTGGAGACATCACCATTGTCTTGGTGATTAACTTTTAGCTCATTATTTTTGCAAATTTCTGCAGCAGGCTTGAATTTCTCCCCAGAAAATGAGGTTTTCTTTTCTATTGCATTATCAGTCTGCAAATTTTCCAAACTTTTATGCTTTGATTCCTCTTGAGCTCTTTGCCACTTAGAAATTTATTGTGCCAGATACCCTAAATCATCTCTCTCAAGTTCAAAGTTCTGCAGATCTCTAGGGCAGGACCACTATGCCACCAATCTCTTTCCATAGCAGAAGTGACCTTTACTCTAGTTTCCAACAAGTTCCTCATCTTCATCTGAGACCACCTCATCATGGACTTCATTGTCCATATCACTAAGCATTTTGGTCAAAACGATTCAACAAGTCTGTAGGAACTGCCAAACTTTCCCATATCTTCTTGTCTTCTGAGCCCTCCAAATTCCTAGGAAGTTCCAAACTTTTTCACATTTTCCTGTCTTCTTCTGACCCATACAAACTGTTCTAACCTGTGCCTTTTACCCAGTCCCAAAGAGGCTTCCACATTTCTGGTTATCTTTACAGCAGCACCCAACTCTCTGTGGTACCAATTTACTGTATTAGTTTGTTCTCATACTGCTATAAAGAACTGCCCAAGACTGCATAATTTATAAAGGAAGGAGGTTTAATTGACTCACAGTTCCATAATGCTGGAGAGGCCTTGGGAAAGTTACAACTATGATGGAAGGGTGAGCAAACATGTCCTTCTTCATATCATGGCAGGAAGGAAAAATGCAAAGCAAAGTGCAGAGAAAAGCAAAGACAGAAAAACCCCTTATAAAACCATCAGATTTCATGAGAACTCACTCACAATCATGAAAACAGCAGCAGAGGGATTAATCACCCCAGTGATTCACTTTACTCCCATCAGGTCCCTCCCACAGCACATGAGGATTATAGTAACTGCAATTCAAGATGAAATTTGGGTGTGGACATAGCCAAACTTGTTCTGCAAGTTGTCATGTTTGCTTTGTCATTATGTTTTAAAACTTCTTTTACATTCTTCCTACAATGCTCCTTCTGATTTCCTACAATATATTATGTTTTATCTGGATTGTTAACCATAAATGTGTATCTTATTATCACGAGTAAGTTTACAGAGGCATTCCCTACCGAGGCATTGATGATCCTTTTCTTAAATGTATTGCTATTTTTAGTTTCAAGTCCTTCCTCAGTTGGTGACAGTCGGATAGATACACAGACACCAGAAGGCTGGTTTTAGGAAATATTTATGTACTTCTCTGCAACATCATGGTAGCTCCGGTGTTGTTTCTTATCAAATGTAACTACTCAATATAAAAACAGGCACATAAAATTAAATTTCTGAGTTAGTGAAACCTGAATTCATTCTTTTTTTTTTTTAGGCCTTCCTTGTAAATCTCCACCTGAGATTTCTCATGGTGTTGTAGCTCACACGTCAGACAGTTATCAGTATGGAGAAGAAGTTACATACAAATGTTCTGAAGGTTTTGGAATTGATGGACCTCCAATTACAAAATGCTTAGGAGAAAAATGGTCTCACCCTCCATCATGCATAAGTATGGTGTATTGAATTTTATTATATATACGATAAATATTCTTCATTCAAAGTGTACGTCTTACCAATAAGAAGAAAACAGTGACTCTAGAATTTCATAAGGTTTTCTTGAGTATTCTGGATTGTTGTGGAAAATTATAACTCTAGTAATTAAAACATTTGACTTTATAAGCCAAATTGGTTCATTTTCACATCATCTTGTGTGAACTTTAAGCATCCTCTGATGTATAGTCTCAGACTTCTCATCTCTGTTCTTAGGGCACAATTGCCTCTACTCATCAATCTCATCATTATTCAATTTTCTGTCAGTTTATCAACAATCTCCCTAAATTTTCTAAAATATTTACGAAATTATTAAAATATTTCACATTTGACAGGAGCAAAACATTTGGAAATAATACAATACACACATAATTGGTGTATTATTCTGTTCTCCCACTGCCGTAAAGAACTTCCTGAGACTGGGTAATTTATAAGAGAAAAAATTTTAATTGGTCACAGTTTTGCATGGCTGAGGAGGTGTCATGAAACTTACAATTACCACTGAAGGGGAAGCAGGCACCTTCTTCACAAGGTGGCAGGAGAGAGAGGAGTGAGCGAAGGAGGAACTTCCAAACACTTATTAAACCATCGATCCTGTGAGAATTCACTCACTGTTATGAGAACAGCGTGTGGGAAACTGCCACCATGATCCAATCCCCTCCCACCAGGTCTCTCTCTAAACACCTGGGGATTATAATTCAAGATGAGATTTGGGTGGGGACACAAAGCCTAACCATATCAGGTGGCAAGTATGGACAAAAAATAATGTGAACAAAAAAATGTGTAATCTCAAGTGCTACGGCTACCAATATCTCTTGAGGCTTCTAATATCATTCCTATTTTGTATTTTTAATAGATTTAGAAGAATTTAATATAATTAAGAGAAAATGGCCAATATATTTCCTCAAGTTATAAGCAAAATGTTGTACAGTATTCATTGATTCTATATATCTCTATTTTAGAATACATTACATGCATTGTACGTAACCTGTTTTTAAAGATTTGCTGAACAAATACATATTTTTCCTATTTCAGAAACAGATTGTCTCAGTTTGCCAAGCTTTGAAAATGCCATACCCATGGGAGAGAAGAAGGATTCATATAAGTCTGGTGAGCAGGTGACTTACACTTGTGCAACATATTACAAAATGGATGGACCCAGTACTGTAACATGCATTAATAGCAGATGGACAGGAAGGCCAACATGCAGAGGTACTTTGATGAATTCTTAAAATTTATTTATATAATGCATGGGCCTGGCCCAGTGGCTCATGCCTGTAATCCCAACACTTTGGGAGGTCAAGGGGGGCAGATCACTTCAGGTCAGGGGTTCGAGACCGGCCTGGCCAACATAGTGAAAACCCGTCTCTACTAAAAATACAAAAAAATTGCGGGGCATGGTGACATGCATCTGAAGTCCCAGCTACTCGGGAGGCTGAGGCAGGAGAATCACTTGAAGCAGGGAGATGAAGATTGAAGTGGGCCAAGATTGTGCCACTACACTCCACCCAGAGTGTCAGAGTGAGATTAAATCTCCAATAAATAAATAAATATATAAGTACAATTTATTTATATAGACTGTCTTAGGCAATAAAATAAAGAATTGTCTCTAACATCATTAAAATGGACATAAATTAAGTTTTTAGGGCAGAACAAAGTGGGCATATGCCTAAAAATAAAAAGATGGGACTGAATATTTGATGATTAATCTTAGCTCAGTAATTCTCAAAGTGTGGTTGCTAAACTGGTAGCATCATCATCTTCTTGGCGATTGTTTGAAATGAAAGTAAAATTCCATAAGCTCATTCTAGACATATGGTATCAAAAGTCTCGAAATAGAACCCTGAAACTGTTTTACCAACCCCTCCAGGGAATTCTATGCACACTTCTGTATGAGAAGCACTGCTATAGCCTGTTATTACTACACATGGACGTGAAACTCTCTGATGAATTTTGCATTGTTCAGCATAGTATCCTTATTCATTGGCAATTAAATTATCTGAAGTTATTTTTATTATTGTAGACTTATTTTCTTTTATTTTTCCACATCTCCAATTTGGATCTTTTGATTAACCATCCTTCCTCTCTTTTAACTTGGGTCATTTTCAAATGTGTTTTTAATTCTTTGCTTATTCGCTAAGAAAATGTCTATTTGTGTTTATTTTTAAGAGGCTAAAATGTATAAGCAAGATGATTGCAAAGCACAATCCGATATCCCATAATCTATTTATGCTGACTTTTGCATTTTATAAATTAATGTTAAATAAATAGAAATGGTAATGTTTTTTCTACTCAAACTCAAAGAGAGATACCCAGGAAAACATTCATTTACACAGGTTTTCAGAAGGAAAAAAAAAATGATCTATCTGTGTTCCAGAGAAGGATGAAGAAGAAATTTAAAACATCAAAGCTTGTACCTTACAAAAAATAGTTTTATGTCTTTTCCTCAATACTACATTTAAATTTATTAAAATCAACAAAATATTTGATAAGAGATTTTCTGTTTATTTTAAATTCATCTTGAAATATATTTGTAATTGTATTGGTTGATTTGCTACTCAAAATGAACATGAGGGGGAACCACTTTTTTTTTCTATTCAGACACTTCCTGTGTGAATCCACCCACAGTACAAAACGCTCATATAGTGTCGAGACAGATGAGTAAATATGCATCTGGTGAGAGAGTACGTTATGAATGTAGGAACTCTTATGAAATGTTTGGGGATGAAGAAGTGATGTGTGTAAATGGAAACTGGACAGAACCACCTCAATGCAAAGGTAGAGTATTATATTTCCTTTAATATTTTGGGAGAGTATAGCAAGGTTAGAATATGTTGATTTCAGTAAAATAAAGTATTTTTTATGAGTAGATTTTTCAAATGTAAATAAAATGATTAATGGTGCTTATAATTCAATTCTTCTTGTGAACAGAACACAAGTAAAACTGTATATTTTCGGGAAAGATTCGGTCAAATTAAAAGAGTCGGTACCCAAAAAATAAGTATGTTAAGCATTACAACACTGATTTCGTTCTCAGGAATACGTGTTATAAAGATACACTATGTGTTTTTGACAGCAATAAGTGATGTACATTCTAAGATATGGAATAGGCAGTTGAAGAGAGATCATAGATTGTGATATAAATGTGGGCATCTTCAGTATATGGATTTTATTTCAAGGCGTGTGACTGACTGTATTTATAAAAAGAAGTCTGAGCACATAGTCCTGGGTCATTCTAATATGTAGACATGAAGCAAGGAAAACCAACAAAGGAGATGGTATCTTACCCACTTTTATTTTTAAAATTAATGTTTTTCTTTTTTTTTCACTATTTTACTTAGACTCTACTTATATTTTATATTGAAGTGAGTTTTTGTAGACAGCATGTAGCTGAATATTGTTTATATATCCATTCATCCTTTCATGGCATGTTAATTGATGCCCTTGGACCATTTACACTTAAAATAATTATTGATATATAAGACTTAAGCCTCTGGCATTTATTTGTTTCTGTCTGTTTCCTCTCAGTTTCGGTCCTATTTCCCTATTCCTCTGTTTCATATGAGGAAAATTATTAAGGAGATTAATTTTGATTCATATGTATTGTGTATTGTTTTCTATTGTATCTCTTTGTATAGCTTTTCTCCTCTTTTTAAAAAGTTGTTGCTCTAGCTAATACTATATACATGTAATAAAATATTACTGTCTACTGGTACTGACATTAAAATCTTCAATTGGAATATAAAAACCGTATTTTCATGTAGATCCATTTATACTCTCCACATTTTATGTATAAATGCCATTGATATTTTCTGTACATACATTGAGCACCATATTAAACTCGTTTGCTTTAAACATCAAACATAATGGAAAAAACTTATGAAGAAAAAGATATCCTGTTATATTGACTCCTCTTTTTATTCATTATATTATTCTATTTTTTCAGTATCCTAAAGTCTCAAGCTCTTACTTTTATCATTATATTTTAATTTGAAGAATTCCTTTAGTTAATCTTTAGGCATAGGTTTACTGGAGAAAAATTCTCCTGGTTTCCTTGTCTCTAAGAATGTCTATATTTATCCCTTTACTTGTAAAGGATAGTGTCACTGGATATAAAATTTGGAGTTGACAGTCCTTTAAACTCTTGAAAACTGTGCCACATGGTTATAGATGAAAAGCTCACCATCACTGGAATTGTTGATCCCCTTGAGGAAAGGCATAGATTTGCCTAGTTGCTTTCAAGATATTTTTTTCTTTTTTTAAGTAGTTTTTTTTTTTTTTAAATATATACTGGTATAAATTCCAATGTGTTTATCCTCATTGGAGTTCACTCAACTTCTTAAATACAAGTTTATGCCTTATGACCAAAATAGGAAGTTTTCAGGCATCACTTTATTTATGCATTTTTTCCAGCCCAATATTCTTTCTCTTCTTTTTCTGCATCTGCATTATTTGTTATTGTATTTTTCTGAATGTCTCAGCTCAATTTTTTGTTTTCAATCTATTTTCAGAGCAGGAAATCTGTATCGCCCTTTGTTCAGTTCATGGATTTATTTGTCTGTCAGATCCAAATGTATTATAAAGTATATTCATTTTTTAAAATAATTTTATCATGCTTTTTCATTTTATAATTCTTAAGTGATTTTTAAAAACCATTATCAATTTAAAAACCTCTGTCCTTTAGTGTTACTCCAAAGAATGTTGAATACAAAATAAGAAATCTCCTCTGTCATAGTTTTCTATGTTTAGCATATATTCATTCAGAAAGACATTTCTTAATCCTGGTCTACTGTAAGCAGCAATATTTGGTAATATTGTATGTGTTCAATCCTAAGTCAAAAGAACAAAGCTGGAGGCATCACGCTGCCTGACTTCAAACTATACTACAAGGCTACAGTAACCAAAACAGCATGATTGTATGTGAACCATATCGTTAGAACAAGCTGAGGCATCACGCTGCTCATAAACCACTACAAGGCTGGCCAGTACTGGTACCAAAACAGAGAGATATAGATCCAATGGAACAGAACAGACAGAAATACTACACATCTACAGCCATCTGATTCCTTTGACAAACCTGACAAAATAAGAAATGGGAAAGGATTCCATTAAATGGTGCACCACAGCCATGAAAGCTAACTTGGATCCTTTCCTTACTCCTTATACGAAAATTAAGATGGATTAGAGACTTAAATGTTATCCTAATATCAAAGTCCTAGAGGGAGGTAGTACCATTCAGGACATAGGCATGGGGCAGCACTTCATGTCTAAACACCAAAAGCAAAGAGCAAAAGCCACAAAATTGACAACTGGGATCTTAAATCAGTGAGCCTGCACAGCAAAGAAATCCACATCAGAGAACAGGCACCACATAGAATGGGAGAAAATTCTTGTAATCTACTCATCTGGATAAAGGGCTAATATCTAGAACCGAACTCAAACAATCCCACGCAAAAACAAACAATCCTGATCAAAGTGGGCAAGGATATGAACAGACAGTTCTCAAAAGAAGACATTCATACAGCTAACAGACACATGAAAAATGTCACTGGTATCATCGGCATCAGAGAAATGCAAATCAAAACCCACAATGAGATACCATTTCACACCAGTTAGAATGGCTATTCAAAAGTCAGGAAACAACAGGTGCTGGAGAGGAGAATGTGGAACACTTTTACACTGCTGGTGGGATTGTGAACCAGTTCAACCATGGAAACAGTATGGCGATTCTCGGATCTAGGATGGCACCATATGACCCAGCTAATGTATTGATTGGGCATATACCAAAAGGATTATGTATGTTGCTAAAGACACATGCACATGTATGTTTATTGGTGCACTATTCACAATAGCAAGACTTGAATCATAACCCATCCATCAGTGACAGATTGATTAAAATGTGGTAATACATACACCATGAATACTACAGCCATGATATTGTAGACATGGATGCAGCTGGAAACCATCATTCTTAGCAAACTATCACAAGAACAGAAAACCAAACACCGCATGTTCTCACTCATAGGAACTGAACATCACTTGACCTCGGGAAGGGGAAACATCACACACCGGGCCTATCATGGGAGGGGAGGGGAGTAATTGCATTGGGGATATACCTGATGTAAATGACGAGTTGATGTGTACAGCACACTAACATGGCACAAGTATACATATGTAACAACCTGCACGCAAAAACATGTACCCTAGAAAGTGTATAATAATAATAAATTTAAAAAAAAAATGAGGAAAGAACTTAAATATTTCATTAAAGGGTTAAATTTCTCCAGGATTCATTTTCACCAGAAATCACAAAAACTGTTGATATATTATATAAAGTGCTGCTTATATTTACCTTTTATTTGAACTCATAGTTTGATTTTCTCTACAATAAATCAAATGATGAAATGATGTTTTTAGATTCTACAGGAAAATGGGACCCTCCCACTATTGACAACGGAGACATTTGGTCTGTTGTCACTATATGCTCCAGATTCATCAGTTGAGTATCAAATGCCAGAACTTGTATCATCTTGAGGGTAATGCTAAGTAACATTGAATGAGCAATGGACAATGGTCAGAACCACCAAAATGCTTACATAAGTACTTTAATATTTGCATGGATCCTGAAAATCAGTGTGATGAGTCTGATATTTCACAGCTTGTGGTCAAAAATAATCACAGATTATTGTATAACCATTCTGCTGAATGCTTGCTCTACTAAATATTTATGTTAGAAAGCAAACTTTAGAAATTTTTCTTTACGGTAGGGACGGGTGGCTCAGGGCCTGTAATCCTGTGCAGTTTGGGAGGCTGAGGGGGTGATCCGAGATCAGGAGAGATCCACCATCCTGGCTAACATGGTGAAACCTCCCGTCTCATAAAAGAGATCCGGTGTGGTGGTGGGTGCCTGCAGTCCCAGCTAGTTGGGAGTCTGAGCAGAGAATGGGCGTGAACCCGGGTGGCTCAGCCAGTGGGCCAAGATTCACTGCACTCCAGCCTGAAGGCAGAGAGATTCCATCTCAAAAAGAAAAAAAAAAAGAAAGGAAATTTTCTTTATATTTATATATTTCATTTTAAAACATTTAGTTGACAAATAAAAATAATATATTTTCATGTTTGAGAATATGCTGTATTGATATATTTATAATACAATGATTACCACAATCGAATTAATTAGCTGATTGTTCATCACCTATGGTTATCATTGTGTGTAGGTGGGTGTGGGAGTGTGTGTGTGTGTGTGGTGAGACTTCCTAATATCTTCTTAAATAATTTTAAAATAACACAGTATTATTAGCTATAAACATCGCGACTTATATTTGATTCCAAGTTCTTATTCATATTATAGCTGAAAGTTTGTACTCTTTGACCAATATCTTAATCAAAAAAAGTAGCAATGATGTTCTAAATGCAGGATCTCAAATGGCGCTATAATGAATCATTGATAATACACCTGTAATTTTCATACATTAAATATAATAATTCCATTTTTACATCCTTTTGCCATTTTAATATTTATTTAATAAATCTGACGCTTTTACGAGTCTGTTTGATAGTGTTTTGAGAAATACCTCCTTAAACCATCATTGCTTAACATTCTGCACGGAAACCTGAAAGTCAGTGACAATTTGCTACATATTTGGCTAATAGTTATTGTTTCATGTTCATTTTTTTTTAATTATACTTTAAGTTCTGGTACATACAACTCTGCAGGTATTGTTACATATGTATACATGTGCCATGTTGGTGTGCTGCACCTATTAACTCGTCATTTACAT